ATTTCTTCTTCTTATTTTAATTATTTTTTATTTACCATATTTATTTTTACATGTATCTCTATAAGTGAATATCTTATTTGGTCAACTCTTTGATTAATTAGTACATCTCATCTCGGATAATATTTTTGTTAATCCTCTTCATCAAATTGTGCGAGTATTGTTCATTAATCATCTTATCCAATTTATTATAGTGCTATCTCAAGATTTCTGATATTACATAAACCGAGGCCTGAGTTGAGGGATCATTGCTGATATTTAAAGAACTGAAGGAGTTGATTGTACACAATATCCTTGGCATTTATACCCATTATGAAATCCGCATGTGCATAATCCTTGAATCGCGGGTTTTTGGATAATTTAAAATTAGATTTTGATTGATTCGTATTTGATCCGAAAATTCGAAAAAAAATTCGGATACCCGATTCGAACTATCCAAAAATTGAAAAACGGATCGGATATCCGAATTTTCAGATCGGATCAATGGATCAACGGATCGGATCAGTCAAATCAATTTTTTTGTACACCCCTACCTTGCATTTCATGCAATAGGTCTGATTCAGTTATTTCTTTTATTTTGTCCTCATAAGTGAGACACGTGTCATCACCTAATTAATTTAATAAAATTAATTAAAAATAGTAACGAAGAAAGAAAAAAGTGATGCAAAAATTAAAAATAATAATAAAAATATTTGACATGTCATGCCACATCATATTAAGTTTTTAACATGAATGTTACCAAATTGAAACTTAAACTAAATGCTATATATGATTTTAAAAAATAAAATTTAGGTATTAAAATGAAATAAAAATTATAATTTATATACTAAATATGTAATTTACACTTTTAATATTTACTAATAAGAACAATTTTAGTTAATAATATGGTTTAGTGTGTCACATTAACAATATGTTTCGATATGCGAAGTTTGTTTGTCGTAAAAATTTTCTTTTTCATTGAATTAATCCAATCCCACTATGTATTTCAAATGTTGATAGTTCAGAATCAAATTATGTTAATTGGTAAGTATTAACGATATCAAACCAATATAATATAAAATCATATTTTCAAAAGCACGAATTTAAACCAACAACCAGTTAATTTTATGGGATGAGGTACTAGGTCCCTTAAGTAAGGTCAGGAGTTCGAATCTTGACGTTTGCGAATTGAGCAAACTGGATTGGGAGGTCGACCTCACTTCTGTAATATCCGATCTAGATTAATCGGTTAATAGATAGGATATTAGTAATTAATTAAAAAAAATGAATTTACTAATATCTCTTTATTTAATAGAAATACCTTTTTAAAGTCGATCCGTAACCCTCATAAAAAAAACCATGTGAATGCAATATTAACGAAACTTTGTTCAATGCGCATGCAAAAATCCCAACCCCTAGGCCCTACCATTAACACGTGTTGTCCTTCGATTATCCGTTTCACATTAGGTTCTTATAAATTATATTGTTTAAATCAGTGAAAGACTAGATCGTCATAAACTACCCAATACATTCAATATATATTTTCTTTAATGGAAAATAATAATATTTTTTCCAATTTCATATCTATTACATACCATGCTTTTAACTTTATAAGACTTTGGGCTTTGTTTATTTTTATAGGTTTTTTTGGCCCAATATCTTATGCGGATAAAAAATTTAAGGTATTGGGTCTATTCAATTTTTATTTAACAAATTACGACATTTGTTACAGTTTGTCTGAAACTCGTCACCTCGAAGTGATGAGTTCTTTTGGATATTATTTTTTAATGATAAGGACTCATCACGCCGATGTGATGAGTCCATTAAATATATATATATATTAAAAAAATTTAAAAATAAAATTTATAAAATAAAAAATTCGATAGAACTCGTTACGTCGAGGTAACGAGTTCCTTTGAACTAAAAAAGTAGTCGTTGTTCAATAGGCAGACGGGCACTAATGATCAATTTCGGCCGGACATTTTGAAACACTAGCCGTTTATAGTCGTTGGGGTTTAAGTATAATATGGGTTTGGGGTTTTGGTATTTCACCAAACCTTAAATCAATTTTTTTTTTGAAAAAAAACATATGTTGTGCAAAAATCTCGAAAAATGGCAACCCAAGTATATATGTTGTGCCTGGATAACGTCCATGTTTCGTCGATCCAACGTGGACCAGACGACGAATGGAGTATTCGTAGTCGGGGGATGACAACCAGAGAAATGCATCAGCGGATGATGGTATATCTACATCAATTCAGTCTATTTTCAACCATATTTTTACGTGGCTTCAATGTGTACCCGACGTTGATCGAGTCTCTCATCAAGTGTTGGCTTACCAACTCGTTGTTCCAATGAATAAAGCCCTCATGGTGAGGCAAAACATTTACGACCCCCGCGACGTTTGTTTATCAAGTCTTGGGAAAATGGCCACCATCCGACTTCATGAGGGGCTATCGGGTAATAAAAATGTGGTTGGAGTCCAAATTCCAAGTCACAGAAGAGTCCACCAAGGCGGAGATTTTTTCTACGTCCCGAGCATTTCTTCTCCAAGTGATCAGAAGGACATTATTACGTGAAAAATCCGATAATTTGGCACACACCCATTATCTACGATATTTGGACAACTTCGTTGTGTGTCGGAATACCAGTTGGGGCTCTGTGATTTTGGCCTTTCTTTACCGGTAGCTTTGCAAGGCTGCAACTGTCCAACGTGGTTGAAAAGTTGATGTGACAGGCAGTATGTTACTGCTATAGTCCTAGGCATGGTATCACTTGCCAGTTTTGACACCGATTACAGACGCTCCTGTTGAGTTTCCGCTGGCTGCAAGGTAATTGTTTAGCTTCATTTATTTAACCTTATTTTAATCTCAAAATTTTATTTATTTATTCTTATTTGTTTATAACATTTTTTTAAATATTTTATATGGCGTCATAAAATATCAGAGACGAAGTTGGCGGGTGTCGATGCACGAAACATAAGGATGAGGATCGATATTGTCGATTGATTCACAGTATGACATACGCTATTTTTTAATCTTTTTAACTTTATAAATACTAACTTTGATATTTAATATTTACAGTTCTCGTGGCTTCCGTATGTTGACGAGGATATCAACATCGTATTGCCTGCGTAATTTTTAGAGGGTTCCCACTTATGTTGTGTCGTGACGCCGTTATTAGACCAAGCGATTGTTGAGTGGCACAAGACTGATAGAGTGATGCGTCAGTTTGCAGCGCACCAGTTAATTCCTATGGAATTCGCGGTTGATATGGACGCGCTCCATACAATCGATATGCGTAGGAAACATGATGAAAATTGGCCAGTGCGACACGCTTACTACATTGACCTATGGAATTAGCGTGAACTATCACTCCCCCATCGTCATGACATTACACCGCTAGACTTAGATTTCGACCATTCCCACTATCTCCAGATTTACGAACAAAATGGTAAATCATATCACTCGACACCAGAAGAGAGGGCAGAATGGAAACATCATTAGTCCACACGTGCCAAGTCCAAGTCGAAGAAGAAAGCATCGCCATCATCGTTGTCATCGTTTTCCGCTTCAGCATCTGTAGCGAAAGAGTACTATTACACCAATCAATTCCTATGAAAATTACGGTTGATATGGACGCGCTCCATACAATCGATATACGTAGGAAACATGATGAAAATTGGTCAGTGCGACACGCTTACTACATCGACCTATGGAATTAGCGTGAACTATCGCTCCCCCATCATCATGACATTACACCTCTAGACTTAGATTTTGACCATTCCCACTATCTCCAGATTTACGAACAAAATGGTAAATTATATCACTCGACACCGGAAGAGAGGGCAGAATGACAACATCATTAGGCCACACGTGCCAAGTCCAAGTCAAAGAAGAAAGCATCGTCGTCATCGTTTTCCGCTTTAGCATATGCGGCGGAATAGTATTATTATGCATCCCATGTTAGTTTCGGTTTCAATCTTCCATTTCATACTTCAGTCGAGACTTGACCGAATTGGGTTGAAGGTTCATAGGATGCACTGCAGTACACTCAAGCATATTCGACAGAAGACGTGGTTGCGGGTGAGTGGGACCATATCCTATATGGTCACAAAAGGCAAGTCGAAGCAGTTACAACAATGATAACGTCAAATGTCATAAACCCATCACCATATTTTGAAGGTGGATCGCAGAGTGTGTTGGGTACACATCCTTGGAAAGACAACGGCGATGACGATGATCAAGGCCTACGACCGGCGTACTCGACGAGCCCCGCGGCATTATCATTCAACCACTCGCGACATTGTCAAGAACTTAGAAGACATAATAAATTGATTTTTACTTTGTAATTTTCATGTAAAAAATTATTTTTGACATTTATTTATTTACTTTGTATTTTTAAAATTTAAATAAATTAAATTTTCTTTTAATTATTTTTTAAAATTATCTCCGGCTGAACTCGTCACCTCAAGGTGACAAGTTCCTTTAACTGTTACTACCCGTTGTTGCCTGTTGTACAATGGCCCACATTGGGCCCATTACGCATCACCTCGGCAGACTGTAGCAAATGTCATAGTTTGGTAAATAAAATTCGGGTAGGCCCAATACCCTAAATTTTTTACCCGTCTGGTATTGGGCTAAAAAAACCTTTTGTATAGGTTTGTGAAGGCCCAACTCAATCCCTAAAACTTGAATTATTATTTTATAAATTATTCTAATTTTTGTTTCATTATTTATAAGTCATATTTTTAGATTTTCACACTTTTTTCACGAAAAATAATATAATCTGTTCACAAACAAACTCCTTTTTAAATTATCAACCCGTCATTAATAAAATAAGATACATAAAAAGTAACGGCTTCCAGTGTACACTAGTTTCTAACCAAGCTCTCCCACCCCGAACCTCTCAATTCCATGACCGTTACACCGAACCAAAATTTTTAAAGCATAATGGGACCCTTACTGATTCCCGTTATGATCCGAACCGAAGAGAAAACCTCCACTTTTGCTTCCATTTTTTAAATCTCAACGAAGAAATGTTAAATCTCCATCGCCCTTTCATAATTCACAGCCCCGAAATGGTTTCCAAGATCATCAAGAAGCGATCTCCGCCGCGTTCCATCAAGCGCCATCATAGAAGAAAGACTTCTCCGAAGAAGAAGAATGTTTGTTCTTTCTCCGTCATCGCCTCCCTCAACAAGTCCATCAAGACTTGCCGCCGCCGGATGTTCAGGCTTTTCTCCAAGTTATCCCACATAGCGACAACACCTTCAGCCGCCGGAAAGCGCTCCCGGAAAGGCTTCAAGATCTTTCACCAAGAAGAAGAGTTGGATGAATCCAAAAGCAATTTCATCGTTCCCAAGGCTCTCGTATTCGACAGATGCTTGCTTCCGCCGTTGATTTCCACGACAAAAAAGACTGTCTTTCTTGATCTGGATGAGACCTTAGTGCATTCCAGCACCGACCCACCACCTAAAACGTACGATTTTACAGTGAAGCCGAGCATGGACGGCCAAATCATGAACTTTTACGTATTGAAACGGCCCAGGGTCGATTTTTTCTTGGAAGAAATTAGCAAGAAACACGAGGTGGTGATTTTCACGGCGGGGCTGAAGCAGTACGCTTCCCAGGTTCTTGATAAGCTCGACCCCAAAGGCCGGTTTATATCGCACCGGATTTATCGGGATTCGTGCAAGGAAGTAAACGGGAAATTCGTCAAGGATTTGTCGGAAATGGGGAGAAATTTGGGGAGAGTCGTCATCGTTGACGACAACCCGAATGCTTATTCTCTGCAACCGGAGAATGCTGTCCCTATACGGCCGTTTGTAGATGATAGTGAAGATAGGGAGCTAGAGAAATTGTTGCGGTTCTTTGAGTGGAGTGAACGGTTTGAGGACATGAGAGTAGCGGTCATGCAGTACTACAACGGTGGAGGCACCGTCGGCGGTGGCGATGCTGATGATTGCGAGTTTGTGCAGTTAGAACTATGACGCGTCGCTCTTTTCTTGCAAGAGTTGTAATTTTCTTTCCGATTGAACATTAGATTTTGTTCATTATGAAAGAACCAAAGTTTACAGTGTATTTTAAGATCAAATCCCACTTCTTCAATGCTATGTTCTTCAAGATTTTTGTTTCCAGATAATTTAGTTATGAAGTAATGATCCATAACCAGTTTCAATCTTTCAAAGCACAAATCTTTGGAGTTAAAGCAAAAGACTTTGGCTTCAAGTTAAACGAATTTCGGAAAATAAGATATAAATAGGTAGTACTGTATAGTATTAAATGGTAGCGGCAACTTAACATAAAGCTCATGTTATAATGGTTCTCAGTGTATATACCGCAAATTATATGTAACGTGTATAAAGTTGGTGGAGCAAGGTTAGCAAGAGATGGCTCAGACACTAGCCCAATCAAATTTGGGTAATGTGAAAGAAATCCTTGAAGCAGAACCGGCGGTTTGAGGTTTCACCCGATCATATGTTCTAGACACCATTGCATGTTTTGTGCTGGCTGTTCTAAAGGGCAGAGTTTAATGCCGGGAAAGATACTTTTTGCTGATCTCTGCGATGTGTGCCATGTGCGACTCGAGTCTGTCCAGCCATACATGATGGACCAAGCTACCGATGCTGCTTAGCTGCCGGCTCATGACATGACAGACTTGAGTACTTTGAGATTTTGGATTGATTTTCCCTGGAAGAGTCCATGTAACATGAAACTGATGTGATTGCTAAATTAAGTTGTTTTCCACATTTTTTCTTCACTAGTAAGGGTTGTGTCTGCCAGGAATGATGCTGTCAAGAATTTTACTAGAAATGCACATCTTTCTTTCTATGATGGTCTGGGAGTGGTGGTTGCCATTGTAGGACGGACTGCAGAAGTTGATTTACGAGCCATTGATGGTGGTTATACATATAGCTGCAGCAAAGGTATCCGTTGTTATTCCCAGCAAGCGGCAGCTGCTGCTCCCGATTACAATCGGGATCATATGTTTATGTCCTCTTTGCATTCTTATCGTGTACAACCAGGGTCAACGCCTCGTCCACCTGCCGCTGCCTGAACGTCCAAATCCAACTGAACATGAATCATATGTACGTGGATGATTTATAATCTTTTATACCATCATTCTTTTCAATGCTGAACCCACGGAGACCTGACGGCCACTGCTTTTGTTCCAAAACCGTCGGTCATGAAGTGGGAATTCCAACCTAAAGAGCAAAAGTAGCTTAACCGTAAGGGATGGGAAAGCTCACGAGCGGCGCCTTAGTATACGCTTAAAATAAGGCGTTACCGGTTTTGTTATTATTTTAAATAACAAAATCGGTATAAAAATGACCGAAAACATCATTATTTTGACCGATTATAATTACTTATATAGGTAAACGCGGTAGAAAAAATAGTTTTACCGAAAACATTAATTTTTGACCGGATTTTTTTACTGCGTTTACCTATATAGGTAATTGGAAACAGTCAAAATAATGATGTTTTCGATTATTTTTTACATTTTTTTATTTAAAATAATAACAAAACCGGTAGTATCTTATTTTAGCCGTATACTGAGACGCCGCACCGCAGAACAGCCAGTAAGGGATCCAAGTGTTTCTCATCTGTCCTTGGCCTTAGGAAGAAAAAAAAAAGGAAAGGTTGATTATTCTGTGCGGCTGCCGAGCAATAATTCACAAGGAAGCACCATAATTTCATTACCACAACCAAACCTTTTCTCCCTCTGTCTCTCACCATTACACCCGACATCAAACGAGGGCTTTCCGTCCGTGGACCATGTCAACGCACCATTTCTTTTGTTGTTTTCTGGAACATCATCATATGATCGGTTTGATTGACCCCATGGGATTAAATCATCATGCTTAGTGTGTAAACATGCAAGTATCTGAGTTTGTAATCATTCAAATCAAAACGCCAATATTTTTACTGTTCTTTTCACTCTTTTTCTTCTGAAATATCTGGCTCTTTACCTGTCAAAGGGATAAAGAAAAATTATTGCTTTGCCTTGCTATCATCATCGTTGATATGGATCTGTTCAAGCACCTTTCGTAACAAGAAAAGGCCAATTCATAAGCATTAATTTGTATCATTTTAAGAACATGAAAAGCAACTACAAATAAATCAGACATTCAAAGCCATTTCTTCAATCAGAAAACCACAATCATACAAAACAGCCAGAGCCATTGTCGAATGCCGCTGCTAAAGTTTCAGCTTAGAAAGAAAAGAAATAAAAAATAGACTAATGAACTTCAACTTAAAAAGGCAAATTCATAGGAATGAGCTATTTATAAATTAATAATGGGGTAGAGATTGGATGTAGAGGCTTCTGGTCACTGTACTAACTCGATTGTCAACTGGAATTCAACTCCGGATGACGGAGGAGAATGTTTTTGCTCTCTTTCCGCGGTTGCTGCTTGATGCTCATTCTCTTCCATGAAGCTCTATCTGCATCAGGGAAACATTTTACTAGATAACAAGAGCGGAATTTGAAGAATTATGCAAAATGGTTTTGTGTGTTACCTGGTTTTCGAATTTCCAAGTGTAAGTTCGAGATCATCGGCTACACATTCCTCGTGGATCTTTTCTCCTTCCCAAGGCTTCACTAACCCTGTTATATTACTGCCAAAGGCAAACTCAGCAGCAATGGCATCAGACATTGGAATATCTGATGATTGATCAACACCTGCAGGGATCGCTGGTGAGCACGTGCCACTCTGCCCGGGAGTCCACATTCGTGAACCTCTGCCTGATAGGGCCTCTTCTTTAAATCCAAACGGATTTCGGGATACAAGGCTAAACGTAGGCGATGTCGGCCCACTTTCAAGTCCAGAAAGCCATCCTGAATCAGGAAAAACCTGACGGCTGGGACTTGGTGGAGTGGAAGCAGGGAGGTAAGAAAAGCGCTGCCCCGCCCAACCCGAGCCAGCGTTCCTTTCGTCCCAGTCATTTCTAGTTCGAGGGGTTCGAGAAGTCGGAGAGCTCAATGGTGGAGTGACGGGAGCACTTATGGAACCACCCGCAAAAAAGAGATGGTGAGCAAGCTTGGCCGAAGCTGAAGATGAGCCAGAAGAAAGGTTCTTGAGCCAGGGGATTAGGGAATTGGCATCAGCGTTGCCATTGGCATTGGCCGTGTATTGGGACGAGGCCGGACTTGGGAACGAAGATGAACCAGGGCTCGGGTGATATGACGAGCATGGACTAGCGGATGCTGAACCTCCCATTATGTCCATTCGATCCACCGGTTTACATCCCTGCAGAAACACAAAATGACTGAAACAGATCAACATGCTGAAGCAACAATGACAAAAAACCCATTTCTCCGTACTTTCTCATCCCTAATGATCATGGAAAGAACTTGTGTCCTTATCGAATCGTCTATGGACATCTAGTTCGGGATTCAAAACTTGGGCAACCTATACCTCCTATCAAAAACATTGCATGAAACATCTATGTCTCTACCCTCTAGACCAAAACAAAAAGCAAACATGACAGGGCACCATAGTCACTACAACCAGACAAAAAGCTTTGATTTAAAGAGGAAACTAATATCAAAGAGACAAAGACATTGGTGTTACATAAGCATAACCATAAGCATGATACACCATGTAAACACGCTAACTCTACTAACATGTTCTCTTCTAAGCTTTGATTAATCAAAACCTACAAGCTTTTTCTTCCTTTAGAGCTTTTTTTTCAATCTCATCATAAAAGAGGAATCCAAAGATATCTCCTTTTTCTCCATTTTCCGCCATTAAAACTGATTAAAAAAGCAATTTAGAAAGCCAATAATTCCGGGGAATGTTCAAAATAATGATAAGAAGCTTAAACTGAAATGACCAAAGTGACCTTATCTTTGAGAAGAAAAAGGCGAGGGAAACCTGAAAATAGGCTTCTTTTTTCCTCATATTATTAGCTTTACGTTAAAGCAAAACTGCACTGCTAAGCTTCAATCTAGGAGATGAACAGTGTCATGTAAATAACGGGATTGCCCCTGCCTGAAAAGCTACAGCATACAGCAAAGAGCAAACCAATGCTTTTTTTGGGTGACCGAGGAAGGGCATTATCGTCTTAATAACAAACAAGTTCTGGTTAAAAAGCTGCCCGGACAAATCTTGTTCGTCCTTTTGCCACTCTCACCGAAGCCAAACGCAGTAAAAACATAAAACAGAAAAATCGAATCTTTGACAACCTCGTGCTTTGTGCTTTGCTTTCCCTTTTTCTTAAACGACACCATCACTGTTCAAAAACACCACTTGCTTACGCGGGGCGTAATTTATCACTATTCTCTACCTTTCTACTAACATGCGCATATTCAGGGGGACTTCGCCGGTACCGGCAGGGAAACCACCCATGATTAAATAATAAGTTTTCATTTTTGGTCCCTAAGAAAACTGGATAGAGCTTTACCTTTCTGTAAGTTGTTCCGTCTTCTTCGACGGTCCAACCAGCTTCGTTGCATAGAGCTTTCAAGACCTCGTTGTTGTCGCAGTGCTTGGGGAGCCTGTAGTTGCCGTACATTCTTAGACCGGCGAAGATCTTGGCGGCGATCGCTCGCCGCCTCCTTTCTCTCCGCTTGTTGTTCTCCCGTTCCTTCCACGTCGGCATTCTCGTCCCTGATGTCATGCTTTTTTTCGATATTTCCTTCCTCGAAACAACGTTGATGATCACGAAATTGTGGGACTGTGTTTTCTCGAGAAAACAAAAAACGAAGAGATGGGAGTGAGATATTAAATGGAGGAAAAACAAGTGCGAACTAAAATTAAATATAAGGCAGGAGGGTAATTTGGGCATGAACTGTACTTAGAATTACGAGGGAGCCACTTATAATGTGCAATAGCAGACTAAATCAGAATCACGTGGGAAACGCGTGGTTTGGCTTTTTTATTCAAATAAAAAAATAAATTTATAATTGCAATTCTAAATTATACATCTCACTATATTCATAAGTAATAAGTGGATATGAAAAAATGGTATTACCGTTATTATACTTATAACAAATTAGTTTGTTATCAGGGATGGATCTAAAATTATCATATATTTTAAATTTTTTATGCATTTTCTATTATAAATTTATATTTATCTCTTCTAAAATTTATAAGTTCAAGTTCACCCTCATAGTTTAAGATCTTGTGTCTATCCCTGATTGTTATATTATACAATCAAATAAATTGATAATTAAAATATATTTAGATCTAAATTAAAATAATTTTAATTGAAAATCACATATATTATGTTAAAAAAATTACATATATTAGAATTAAATTAAATTAAAACTAAAATTCATTCATAATATTTATATATTAACTCAAAATTTTAAGTGTTTAATGATATAAGGCTTCAACCTTTGTCCACTTTTTCTATATTTAAATTTTAATTTTCCATATTTATAATTATTATTTTATAATTTATACTGTAATTCCTTGAATTTCGAGTCAGTAGTTCGGGTCTACTCGAGACCCGTAAGTTGAGCCTTTTAGATCTCTCAAGTCAATTTGGATCTATGCAAGAGGGTATTTGGCCTAAGTTTAGCTCAAGAGCTAAAGTTTAGTGGTGATTTTAGAAAGGGTTTTAAATCAGAATGACCAAAAGAGTAGTTTAACCATAGTTGGTTTTAAAGGGATATAAATCTCTTATTTAAAGGGATTTCACGTTAAACCCAAAATATCACTTCTATTTTCTTATTCGCTTCTCTCTTCTTTAGTAAGCAAAGATAGAAGCTTTAAGAATTCCAAGTCTAGTTTGAAGCAACCAAGGTAATAATCCTAATCATCACTCCTTAAGCTTTAATCTAAGGCCTACCTCTTTAGTTTGAACATGGTTTTAAAAAATGGGTTTTTAGGAAAATTAAGGAATTCAAAGGATTCAAGTTTATTCTAGTAAATTTAAATTGTTTGGAGTGTTCTTACACTTGTTTTAAGCTTAAGAAAAGTTAGTAAACCCTTTTCTTATCTTTGATTAACTAAGAGGTGGCAGAAAGTTCAAGGCTAGAGGTAAAGAGAAAGTGAATCCTAGTTGATTCGAGAGGATTACTAGTAGCCAATAAAGTTAGGTAACACACTCACAACTTCATTATACCAGTTGTAGATCATTAGAAATGAGTTTTAGATGGAAAGTTAAGATTTAAGCATGTTGAGTAGAATTTCATGATAGATTCTTTAATAAAGTATTTTAGCATGTTTTAAAAGCCTTATTTATGCCCATTCATATCACATAAGACATTAATCACAATTGGAAACATCAAAGAAGTCAAAATAGAGAGTTTGAGAGGGATTTTCAGGCCCAAATAGGGTATTTTTTGAGATGGGGTATCGATACTATATGAGTCAATACTGATATTGTTATTTAGAAGAACAAGAACATGCTTAAGTAAAAGGCATTATCGATACTCATACAAAGAGTATTGATACTACAGGGTTGGTATCGATACTCAAGGGTTGGTATTGATACCGATATCACATTTTAGATTTTAATATACCATTTTTGTATCAATACTCAAGAGAATATCGATACACAGGGTAGAGTATTGATAATCTCCATAAGAGTATAGATATTACTTCCATTTTTCCCTTTATTTCAAGTTAGCAATAGAGTATCGATACACTAGTGAGAATATCGATACTCAAAGGGCAGTATCGATACCAAGGGTTATGTTTGGGCAAGAATTTTTAAAGGGCTTTAAATAATGTTTAAATACTCACAAATAAGATTACAAGTTAAAACAATAATAATGTTTAACTCAAAGTAGCAAAGATAATAATTAGGATGAAATGAGACTAACCTTGCTTGAATGCTCGGGAAACGACCAGGACACCCAAGTTCCTTTAGAAATGCTAACAAAGTCAAAAGTATAGATTCAGTCCGGATATATCCTTAAAGAATGCGTAAGGAATTTTAAGCTGACTAACTAAGGCCTATGTCTGACACTTGCAAGAGGTAGGTTAGTCGAGGGTGTAGTGTCCGAAACAGAGATTTCAGGGGATCATCCTCAGTAGACTAGAGGAGTGTGTGAGCTCCAAGATGCAGAACCCTCAACCTCACCATGATGTTTACATAGAGTAAAGAGTTAGTATACAAGTATACTCACTAAAGTAAAGCGGTAAACTTGATAGCTTAAGCCTTTCAGTGATATAGAGTTAGTATGATTTAGTTGTTAGTGTGACACTGAGCTAGTTAGCTCAGTGTTTGGAATTTGTTTCCATACATATATTCGGTGGAGTAGTTGATGAGACTTAGAGAGACTGAGGTCCAGACCCAGAGCAAACCAGAGTATGTCTTAGCGTTTTTATTGAACATGCATATTTGTAAACTTTGTTGTAAAGTTGAGTTGTAAAGTAAATCAGGAGTTGGTCTCTATATTTTTGGAATGTAAATGTTTATTTTGGGAGCTCCCCATTGTAAAGTTTATTATATATTATTTTTATGGATTTTTTTAATAAAATGGTTCTTAAAATAGTTATTTTAAAGTAAAATAAAGAAAGAAAAAGTTGGTCAAACACTCTAGTGGTTTCGTGTAGCACCCTAATTAGTCGATTGTGTGTCGTACTGGTCTAGGGTGTTATATATACTCACTCTGTCCCACTAAATATGTCCATTATTAACTCTTAAAAAGTTAAAAATTTTAAACTTTGACCATGATTATTTTAAATATTTTTTAAAAAATAAATTTTATAAAATATATATTTAAAAACTACTTGATTTAAGGTTTTAAAAATATATTTTTTCATATTTTTTTATCAATAATAAATTTTAAATAATGATGAGTCAAAGTTAAAAAATGGCCAAAGAGAAGTCAACAGTTGACATATTTAATAGGACAGAAGGAGTAATACTTTAAAATGGAGTAAACTACATCCAATGGTCACTAATATTTGAGTAAGTTTTTGTTTTCCCCACTAAAGTTTTAAAAGTAAAAAATTTGTTACTAACGTTATCGATTGTAACAAAATGGTCACTAACGTTATCAATTTATATAAAAATGATCACTAATGTTATCAATTTATAACAAAATAGTCACTCTATCGTTACCTTTGTTAAATTAATGATGTGGTAACGTTAAGAAAAAAGGTTAATATTTAGTTTTACCTCTAAACTATTGCTAAAACATCAAATAAGTCCTTAAACAATATTTTATATCTAATTTATCCCAACAACTTTCTAATTTATACTAGTTTTTTAACCCCCAACCACCACAACTATATTCGAACCACCTTACTTACAAAACGAAAACCACACTACATAGACAAATGGAAGTTTTATATTAAAGACAAATACATGAGTATTTAAAGTCATATATTCAATTAATTTTAATGTAAAAATAATACACCAAATAAACTGCATATCACACAAATTGTAAACTAGCTGGTGACAGTTCATTCATTAAAGGTATGCTAAACATTAAGCAAACTAAGATACAACTACAATGTGGCGAGTAAGGATCAGAGATACAAAATGTCTATAGCATTATAGTAAAATTAATACCTGGGCTAATAACAGTAACAAGTGAATCAAACTAATAATTAACAAATATGCAAAAGATAATGTAACGCCCCAAAATATGGGTTAGGAGTTTCGGGTTTATTCATTTGGGCTTATGAGTGAATTTACCTTACTGTATGAACCTTGGACCCAAGTGGAATTAATTTAGGCTTGTGGTGAGCCCAACAAGTGGAATTAATTCGGGAGTGATTGGGTATTTTTTGTGCTAAAAACAGAGCACCCAGGTCTATCAGTATTGGTACTGGAAGAACAATACCGATATTTGTTCTTCGTGAAAGGAAAAAACCAAGTGATTTATAAGGGCAATATCAATGCCCCTTCAAGGAGTATCGATACTCGGGGTCTATTATCGATACTCAGGTGGTCAACATCGATACTCAGGTGGTCAATATCGATACTGAGAGATTTTTGAAAATATCGAAGCTGATTTTGGTATCGATACCCAGGGTAGAGTATCGATACTCCCTATCGGGGTATCGATGCCCAAGTATTTTTCAAAACATCGAAGCAAATTACTGCTGGTCCAGTATCGATACCCATGGAGATTTTTGGACAAATTTTGGTTAAATTATTTGAGTATTTAGGTTGAGGTGTTTTGAGTTCGTATAATCCTTACTATTTAATGCAAGTGAAAACGAAAAAATTAACTCAATTCTCACCTAGAAATCAAGCAAGATATGATGATATAAGATTTGTCATGTAACACCCCCAACCTGTATCCGACTTGGATCTGAGTCTGAGGTGTCACATCAACTTTTAAACATTTACTTGTTCAAAATAATGAAAAATCCTCGTTAAAGAAAACTTAATATTATTTCAAAATAAAAGTTTTCACACTTATCAGAGCAAATACAATTCAAATCGTTTATATTACATGCCAACTACATCTAAAAGAATAAAATGCATATCAAACATTTCTTTTCTGATCTGAACTTTGTAAGGAAGATGATGACCTGTCTTGCTCCTCTCAGCTTCTATATTCACTTTCTGTAATCTGCGTGTGAAAACTCACACGCTAAGTCGATGACTTAGTGAGGCATAAAACATATAATATAACTCTAATGCGTGATCATGCATGAACAATTTCTACTAAAATATTATATACAAGCATAATACACGCACACACACACACACACACACATATATATATATACACTTCATATCATCTCATACATTCTTTTATAAAACATTTACTTATATACACATGTCATCATTTACGTATTTATCATACTCTTATATTATTATCTTTTATATCTCT